CCTCTTCTTGTAAGTGTTGCTTATTGCTATGGCAACACTAATCAATCATCATGCTAAAAATAGGCCTTTCGTTTTTCAAGAGGTTATCTGTAGTGAATTGAAAATGCAACTGTGGTCTGTCTTTTCCGTATGCTGCTTTCATTTCACTTTATTTTAATCTGGAAATACCCATGCTTGTATGTGGTAATTACTGTTAACCGACTCCGGTTATTTCACTGGTTACTCTCTTGAGCTTTAAACCTCTCCTGGCTCTTCCAAAAGGGGTGCCAAATATAGAAAATTTTAAAAACAAACACCCCAGAATATTCTCCTTATTTGAGTGTCACAGGTGTATTGGATTATAACAAATTTTTAAGGAGTTTATAACATATCTAAAAAAATCTGGAGGTCACAGTGTAAAAGACGCCTCCTTTGAGAGCGTTACACAAAGGGACCTTAACACTGAAGGCACTACGACTCTGAAGATTTTGTCCTGTTATGTAGAATGTAAGTCTAATTTAAAGATTCAATTCAAACAGGAACCTGCAAGCTGTAGAGATAGTGAAATGGAAAACTGGCACCGGTGCCCTGTGCATTCCTCTGTGTGCTCAGTGCATCGATCAACTGCCAGGTTTGTGTTGGAGGAACACGCACCCTGCGGGAGGAAGAGCAAAAAGGGAGTGGTGCTTTGAAATAAAAAATCTACTCAAAGGTTTATTACCTACCATTCACTCCCAAGTTTGATTCTAACTGTTGCGTAACACTTTTTAATCCCTGGCTAAGTAAATACATAGCCACTTAGGAAGGGGAAAAAACCCAACAACTTTTTGCCAGATGAATAATAGTCTTTTGAATGATGCATAAACAATTTTCTGGTTCTGCCAGAGCCCTCTGCCAATTAGTCAGAGTGCAGCTGATGAATCATGAGACACATTCTGTGAAATGTTCGAAAATTTGGACCCTGCTAAGTGTTCCTGAAAGCCAGTGAGACCCCCCACAGCTGCTAAAACAGTGGCTGCCAGTCAGTTGAGTTTCTGGGAGATATATTTGCAATGGAGTACTTTTTGGTGAATTTTAGTTTTTATTTGGGATACATTCGTGTTACCATTTATAATCTCAAATTAGATAGTGATAGTCCTCGCCTTTATAGTAAATATATGGGGAGGTTGACTTTAGATAGCTTTGTGCAGAAAATGACTGTCTGCTCTCTTATAAGGTGGGTTAAGGTAAATGAGACTTACTATTCTGCTTGTGTAATACTCTGAAGATCCTTAGGCTTTTCTTTTGAAATACCAGACTAGTAGATCTCTTTTTTCAGTAGAGTTTAGATTCTGGGTCACAGGAAACAACTAGATTGAAGCAGTGGCTTGCTGAGCTGCTGCAGGCAGCCTAATGCAGCCTTAAGTTCAATACGTGAAATGGCTGCATGTCCGAGTATCATCATCTGACTCCTTGCTGGTAAACTCTAGACAGTGGCTGAAAATAGTAGATATTTTTTGATAGCTAGGTAAAGAGGGAAATCTGGCATTTGGCTTTATTCAAAATTTCCTCTAAAACTGTAACCATGCTTCAAATCAACAGCAGAAAGGTTTTTCACATTTTGCATTTTTATCCTCCGCTATACCTGAAACTGCACCCTAAAAGCAACTGTTTTGATAAAGAAAAAAGTTGTTGTGTATTGAAAATGTATTCCATCCCACAACTCCTGAATTTCTATAGTTAGATCATAAGTAAAGATACTTTGGTCAGAACCAGGGATGAGGAACTGCTTTGGTAAGGGAGTTAGCTTTCTATTAGCTGTAAATGCGGAAGATGCTGTACTGAAGTTCCTTCTGTCAGTGGAGTTTTCAGACCTGACAATGGGACCATGAGAGCAGCACCAAGCCCTGTGGTGGACCCTGCTACTTCTTAAAAGAGTGGAGAGAACTGCGCTGCCCAGAGCCGTTAAGGTCAGCATAGGCAGAGCAGTTCCCATAGCCACTGAGGGTTCCAACAAACCACTGGACTCAGACTGTATAGCTTAAAAGGTTGCAAACTCACAAAGCTCTGACCTGGAGACTCAATCTGCTCAAGCATTATAGTATCAATGACCCTTCCACTAGTGACAGATCATTGATGTCACTCTGTTTTCCTTTTTTATCAATTACTAGATTTTATTTAGGGGGTGTTGATTTTGTTTAATTGTGTAGCAAAGAAAATTGAATTTTGGTCCTCTAATCAAGAGGGCAGATACTTAACACACACAAACATGTAAAACATGGCCTAGAGCAGTAACCTTGAAATATGCAGGCACGATGCTAGTAACTGTGTTTTCCTGATAACTGTTCTAAACAATTAGTATATCAGAGATAGTATGGCATACATCCATACCACTTTCAGTGAAAATGTTGCTAAAAGCTGTTATTCAGACCTCAGCATTGAGTCCTTCGGAGCGCAGTACCAGTTACTGCATTCAGTAAGCAGTACTAGTAACTGCTGATAACACAAAATATTCATGGGCAGTCTCCTCTCATTTCCTCAGGGATGCTTTCCCGCAGGATGCCCGTATGCAGATGTCTAGGTTGCTGTCAGCATGAGCTCTGTGCACCTGGACTGTAACCCCTGTAGTTGCACATCGTTGTGAAATACAAGGCTGCCATATACTAAGTTTTTTGAGATCAATAACCCATGTTTTTAGCACCCTAGCACCAATGTAGTTGTTTTCCAAATGCTCTGAAAACTGTGCTGTTGAAGATGTCTGTCATTAGGTTCCTTTTTTTTAAAATCAAATCTGCGTTTCATAATCCACCTCCAGTAGTAATTTACTTTTCAACCCTCCATGTTCCTCCTGCAAACGCAGAAAGCAACCAGAATGTTGCCTTATCCTGTTTGAATACGAATCCTTGGAGTGACATCAAACATTGTTTTGGGACATGTTGGCCTCCCTGTGCCTCCTGGGTCATTCCCTATTTTTTGTAACATCACATTTATAACTTCTCTTATTCTAGAAACATTTGATTATAGAATTCTTTTAATCAACCCCTTTTATTCATCTCTTCTTCCAGTTAATATAGTTCAAGGATGTTCGTTCCACCTTTTGGTTAGTTTTGGAAATACAAATTAGAACCTTATGATGAACCTTCGTGGTTTTGGGGTTTTTTTTTAACCTCTTTCCTTGTGGTGCTTGCTGTTTGCTAACGCTTTGTTTGCAGATGCCTTTGGATGTCTGCCAGAATAGGAGCAACATACTGAGATACATGGTGAAACCACAATTGGGAGAATATCTGGAATTTTTTTTGTGTTAGTTTGTGTTACAAGATCCCCAGTTCTGCCAGACAGCGTATAAATATTGTATATTTTTCAATTGGTACTTCCTGAGATTTATACGTAGGAAATGTTTAATTGCCCACAAAATATGGGTAATAGGAGCTGGCAGATCTGTCATGGAACTTGCCCCATCGTGCACTCTGCATATGGCTGATATTTTTTATTTTGTTTTTTTGCCTCCCACATGTTCACTCAATGAACAAGTTGCATAGATGAGAGCTAGTCACAGTTCAGATTGGATTGAAACTCATAAATGTGCTACTCCACAGAAATCTTTAATAAAAGGCAAAACCTTTAGAAGATCTGAAGAGAAGCCTGCACGGTCTGGGCATCTGCGGCAGCAACATGTTCCATGGGAGCATTTCATTACGTTGGTGAGAAGACAGTTTGACCAGAAGCCTTCTGTGGCACCAGAACCTTATTCTGGCAAAACTCTTACTCACTTTTCAACAAGGATTGTTTCTACATTGGATCCTAGATATCCTGTGATTGAACAGTGACTTGTTTGGTGATATCCGTGGAATCAGGAATGTGTTTTCTGTAGTCTCAAAGAAACTGGCTTGTCATTTCAATTTTTTTGCACTACAACTGGCCTTGTAAAACACCTCTTTTCTTAGTCATCAGCCTCTCCCTTGGAAAGAGACTTCAAATTTGATCAAGTTCAAACTTAGACCCACAGCAATGTGAACAGCGAGGCATCATAATGTCCTCATTGTACAATCTGTGAGTACAACACATGGAATAGTCATAGTCTTTACAAAGCCATTTTGCCGTGGGGTAGTAGTCATGCATCGTACAAGGAACTGGCATTTCAGTTGCACTGGCAGTTAAGGCAAGAAGAGACTTGATGACTCATAGTAAAGATGCTGACCTAGTATCCTGCAGAGTTAGTTAGACATCTACTTGATTTGCCTAGGTGAAAAGCTGATTGGAAAGAAGAACTGTGAAATGCTAAAGAAACGATAATTGAAGTATTTTTTTCCACTGGAGTTAGGTTGTACATTAGTATTATAAATTCTAGTCTTGATAAGCCAACTAGATTAAGCAATCCACAGAAAAATAAGTTTATTCACATGTAAAATACAGAAGGATTATCTTTAATAGAAAAACATTTGTGCATTCTGAATTTTCTTGCATTATTATCTAAATATTGATTTGGGTTTAGTATAAAGGAATTTCCACAGCAGCTCATAATCTATCTTAATTTCGTTAATAGGACATTATGCTAAAATGAATTTCTTGCTGGAAATTTAAAAAAAAAACACGCTCTCATGTCAAAGCATTGTTGTCTGTTTGGTTAGCACCTGCAGCTAGTGAAGTGTCCTTGGATTATTTTGTATGGGGAATAGACTAATCTCTGCTGACGAATATCTAGTTGCTCTCGAGATCTTAGTGAACTGAATTTATAACAAGACATTCAGAGCATTTGTACTCTTATGCATAGTGAGCATGAAAACTATTGTATCTAATTATTCCAGAGTACTTACACTAATTTATTTATACCTTCATCGTACTATTCAGCTTTTAGACAGAATCTCTACATCCCTTCAGAATCATAAAAAACTCTGCTCTTATATTCTGTGTATATTTACTCTTTTTCTTGAAGTAATCTGAAAAAAATAAGAAAGCTGATACTAAACAGGATGTACTGAATATGTCAGCTGATGAAGCAAGGCGTATTTTTTTATGTCAAGCATGTTTTTCTCTTGTTGCAGTGTTCATTTTTGCCTAAATTCTCCATTCACATAGAGACAAAATACGAGGACAACAAAGGAAGCAATGACAGTGTAAGTATGATGGCTTTTGCAAAGTTTGATTTAATCCCTTTAGTTAATCACGTTCCATATCTGAGGGTTGTAGGTCTTCCAGTCTGGGAAAAAGGCCGAATCAGGCTTATGTCTTTGCGCCTACCTGGGCGTCCTGTTCCTTAGCAGCTTGTCGGCTTGTGGAGCAGTTACCTCTGAAGCACCATGAGATGGAAGATTTGTGTACACAGCTTCCCTTCTGCATCTCACATTCCACTTGCTACTTGTCTAAACACAATGTAATTTACATGTGTGAATTTAGTCCTGGTGCACATTTATGGAGAGTAAAGAAAAAAATAGTCTTTGTGGGTGTATGTGTGTGTAATTGTATTCCACTTTATCTGTTCCACATTATTCTGAATAAAGGGGGTTGAACTCAAAGGAGCTGTTGGGAAGAGCGAACAGGAAGCTGAACAAAGGTCAGAGATGAGAGATCTCAGCAAACAACTTCCAGGGAACAATGGGGGAACTATTGAGGTGATGCTTTTGGCAATCACTTACCAAAAGTTTAAAAGTTCTCAGAGCTTAGAGATGAAAAGGATAATTAACTATGCAAAATCCTCTCTAGAGGAAGGGTGGGAGTGCGTAGCCAGCAGATCGGGAGATGCAGCCAGCAGAGATGCAGCCAGCGTATCAGGAGATGCTCGGGAATAGAAGACGGGGGGTCAGTCGGACTTTGTTGCCCTGACAGGGAGCAAAGCAGAGCCATGCAACTTGCAAGAAGAGAATGCGTTGGATAATGCCAGGCATGTGCAGATTCAATCCTTGGATTAATACACAAATATGTTCCTATGTGTTTCATTTTGGTTTGCTTTAAACAGTCATTTGTTGCAGTCTTACAAGAAGAAGTTTCTCATAGGCGTGAAATACAGATTAAAATGTCTGGAAAATGGATCTGTAATACAGAGACCTAGCGAAGGAGTGTTTAAACTCATTCTTGAGAAAGAAGGCAGCAAAGCAGATTTTATGGGGTCTGAGACACCGAGCCTTTCAGTTGCCAGCGATGTCCCGCTAGCAGCCTTGTTAACATTACAGTGTGCTGTTCTGCAGATGGGCGGTGTGTTTCCCTGATGCCTTAGGCCTGCATGTTGATAAGGCTGACAGCTGTTGCACTGCTTATGGCAAAATAATTACATGTAAAAGAACAAGGTCTAATTTTGAATAATGCTTTTGGCCTACAGAGACTTTCCCAATAGAAACATGACAGAGATCATGTATTAGCCATCAGATATGAACTTGCAGTCACTGCTAGTCTAAGCCAGATCAGTGAGAGAGGAAAAAAAGAAAGTGTATTATGTTACTGACTATATGAGCATTATGTAATTTATACACTTTTTAATGTTCACTTCTGCTTTTTGGCAGCTCTTTTATGCAGAACAAGCCCACACCTTTGGTTGCGGGAGGGTGCAGACTAGTTTTCTGGTACATGATAATCTCAGCAGTGAGAAGACACATTCTGTAGTGATGCCTAGCAGAGGAAGAACTGAATCTATTCAGTCAGTGAATTTTCAGGTTTTTTCTGTGTATCATCTTTGTGGCTAAAATACTGTGAATCAAGCCCCGAGTGGTACCCAATCAGTGAATTTAAGATGAAGGTAACACAGAGGTGGGATATTCAGATGATTTAAATCAAGGAATCTCCACTCTGCTTGAATCCAGCTCTTCAAATGTAATTCTTACCAGAGCGCCAGTGGGGTAATATTATATTACCTTTGTACTGTGGTACCTGAGTCACAGCCTAGGCAAGTATTTACCAAGATCAATAGATTTAATTGACCCTTACTTGAACTGAGGAGGAGAAAGAGAAGCTGAAATAGAGGGCTCCACTCCAGCCCCAATTTCCATGATTTTGCAGTTCTGAGAGCTATGCTGTTCATGAGCATGGACACACTAACTCAGTGGAAGATCTACATTTTTTGCTGTTGATCCAGTGACATTGGCCTGGTGCCCAGGTGCGGGTGATACAGCACTGAAATGCAGGAGGGTTAGTGATACAGAGAGACGCGATGGGGTCTGTGGAGAGACTTGTGTTAAACCAGACACCTCGGAACTAGGACTAAGAGTTGATCTTGTTTCTGTTACTTAGTGGGTATGCTTAAACCTCCCTTAAGAAAATGCAAAGTATTTTTCTCCTTCGAGTCAGACGAGTTTAGATTACATTTCACTATGTTTGCCCGGTCAGAAGACAACAGGAAACAGCACTGATTTCTACAAATTTCCACAGATACACTGTATTTTTCCTCATTGCAACTATCAACCTTGGCTAATGAAGAAATAATTAATCCCATAAATACTTCTGTAAATTCTGCAGTTGTAATGCAAAATGTACTGAATTAATATTGCAGTAATAAGGGTGATAATGCCTGTCTGATTTTAACTTAACTATTTCTAGATATATTTTTTGAGATCTTTGAACTCTGATCTATTCTTCATTTCAATACTAATAAAGTAGCTATTGATTGTAAAAAGCAATAATTAGGTATAAGGATACTAAAGCCAATTCCATTGATTAGTGGAAGAAAGCGATAGAAATGCTCTCGGGTTCCTGTTGTGATTTAGCTAGCTAGTATATTATTAGAATTATTTTATTTAACATGTTGCATTGTCTGGTAAAATTCTGCCTCATTACTGCAATATACCCTGATGCAAAAGTCCTCCTGATTTTTCTTCCCAATTGTCTTGATAGAAGAAACTAGTGAAAGATAGTGATGCCTGCTTTGGAACTTGGTTTTTCTGTGTCTTGGACTTTGTCGTCATTTTAACCTATTTTAAATGTGCTTAAAGCATTCTTGTTCCAATCTGTTAAAGTTTGCACTTGATTTGCACAAATACAAACATTGCCAGGAAGAACAATGGAGAATAAACCCCTTTATTTAGATAAGAACCTAATGAAGATTGTGTAGATGGTGGTAGTGCAGTACCATAAACCCATCCAGTTGGGATTTCTCGTGCTACAGCACAGCTGATTTTGCAGTATTGCATCTAGATGTTCACGTGGCAACTCCCTCCTTAGAAAAACAGAATCAGTGTTGCATGAAGGTGTTAGTACATCAGATATTGTCACTGCTCCTTCCAGCTTTATCGCTTCATTAGTAGTGTTAGAAACTAGACCAGTGAGTCGGGCCATTCAGTGTTTCCTCTTCCAGGTCTTTAAAGAAATAGAAGTTAAAGTTAGGTTAGTTAAAAAGAAATTTTATTTTAAATTACATAATGGAATTTCTAAAAATCAGAATGGTTTGTAAAATACAAATGACACTGTAGGTGGTATCTGTAGCGTACATGCAAATGCTGCTTTGCTATTGCATCCTTAGCTGCTCACGTAAGTCAAGGCAGCAGAGGGAACTGCTGGGAAGAGGGAAGTGCAGGTACCTACAACGGACAGCTTCAGTGAACACAGACAAGCTGTAAAAGTGCATGTCCATCACTCAGTGCATGCTTTTTTTCCCATAAGGAAAATCAGCAATTAGGGAATTTGAATATAGATAAACAAAGTCTATATTTTGAGTATTAAAACCATAAGTTAAATGCAAGAGAATTCTTAAGGTTATCTAATTAATGAAATGGTCAGAAATCACAGGCAGGAGTGGTAGAAGTTACTGCTTGTTTGTGAGTAAATGATTAGTCTGTGGTTTTCATGAGCAGGCTTCATTACCCTCTTTTTTTGTTTGGGCAGGTATTATTTTTTCTTAACAGTCTATTGATTTGCCAGTATTTGTGTCACATAAGGCTCATTTTATCCTAAAAGGTGTATTGCTTTCACTTTTATCCCGTCTCTGTTCTTACTGTTTCAGTCTACAGACACACAATTTCAGTGTACAGACACACAGTATTTTTTTTTCTTTATTTTAGTGGGAAATGCACCAACTTAAGCTTTCTGTTGATAACAAAGGAGCCACCACATGGCTCTAGTAGATACTGTTATCAGTGCACAATGATCTCACGCACTGCAGCTCCGTCTCTGTTCTTGCATGCCACAGTCTAGTCCTGCAGAAAATCTCTACAAAGCAGTCCACAGCTGAAAGTAGAGCGGAGGTGAAGGCAGACACTGTTCAAGCAAATCACTGAATCACAGAGACATCTCAATTTTCCTATTTGTTGCAGACGGATCATTATGTTTGACTGTTTTTTGTTTGATTTGGTTTGGTTTTTAGTCACGGAATTAATTTCTGCTGATATTTGGGCAGTGAATTTTTTCATCTGATAGCGTCTGGGGAAAGTAAAAAAGTGCAGCTTGTAGAAGTAATCCAGTAGTGGTCAGTAATGGAAATTCACTGTATGTAAAACTCCTTGTAGCAAAACATTTTGCTCTGCAAAACTCAATGGCCGGATCTTGCTTATTAAAGAATAGCGTGCAAGATCTTAAAACAGGGTTGTTTTTGTTAAAGGGCCATGATATTTATTAGCAAGAACAACATTATTGTTAAGCATATGGAGGTGTGGAGTACAGATTTCAAGGCAGAGTTATATTTCAAGATGATGAAGTATGAGTATCATTCAGCACGTTTTTGTAAGCATAATGCTGATAAAGTCAGCAGAGCTAGAGCACGAATTCTTTGTCAATCAAGAGAAAAATATATTGTTAAGATGTTTCTTGCCTTTCAAAGATAGTACAGTGTCTCAGATGCATGTCTCAGAATGACCATTTGCAAGATGAACACAAGAGGTAGTTCTGCATTGCATGTAGATATAAATTAATACCAGTATCATTTGACACTTTAATAGCTTGAGCACGCTAACCCCAGCCAGCTAACAGCAGAGATTATTTGATATGCAACTATGTAAATTGCAGTGCCATCAGTTAAAGTTAGAAAATCATTTCTTGACAGCAAGTTCTAATTCTGCAGCCCTACGAGTGCCTGAGTATACAGTATTGGATCATTCATCATACTTCATCCTCAGTGTGTATTTCTGAAGTGTTGGTTGTGAAACATTTGACTAAAGTAAAATAAATTTGGGGTATGGCCAGCTAAGAAGAAGAGCTG